CGAGTGAACCCCCCCCCCCACACTCTCAGAAAATACATTCCAGAGCCCAGCCACTCGAGTGAACCTGCCTCCCCCCACACTCTCAGACAGTACGTCCCAGACCCTAACCACTCGAGTGAACCTTGCCGCACCCCCCCCAACCAAAACACTCTCACACAGTATGTTCCAGACTATTGCTACATGAGAAAGCTTTTCCTCATGTCTCCACTGCTGTGTTTTGCCAGCTGCTGTGTGGGAATCTTCATCCCTGAAACCGTTCTCATAAACCTTCTTACACTTTCTGTTAATACCTCCATATCTTCCCTCATGTTTAGTGCTCTGAACTGGAGCCAGTAATGTGGAGTAAGTGACATTGCAGTGAGGACAGGATGAGGCTGTTCGATCACTTCCTATATTTAAAATGTACTTTTCCACTGACTCCAGTTTGCCTGTTTCCTTTGGTGATAAAATGTTCTCTAGACTAACTGTGAAAATTGTTCTTGGTCCACAGAAATTCACGGATACACAGAAAAGGTAAAGCTTACATTCTTGATTTGATTTTTATTTCTAACATAGTCCTCCCCCACTGTGGAATGATCCAACGCTGACTTTTATCTCCTGTTTCAGAGTGAAGCAAACTCTCCCAGAGCCACAGAAGGTTTATCCTTTAATAAATGTGGGCAAGTACATTGGCTCCCTGCAGTACAGAGTGTGGAAAAAGATGCTGACAGTGATTAATACAGGTGGGTGTGAGCTTCCTGACACCAGTTATTTAATCGCTTTTGTGATTATGAGTAGAAGCTATGATCTGAATACTGGCCTATGTTTTAACTTATATAACATGTACCACAAAGCATAAGTTCTTGAAGTTTATTAACAGCAGTGTTTACAGAGCTATAATTTCACAGACTTACATATAATCTGGCTCCAGTGGTTATTAGTGTTTGCATTTGGTGGTTACTGATGTTACTGCCCATTTCGTAAACATAACTAACTGAACACACAATACCTATTTCTTCACACTGTAAGACTGACCGAAGGTGAAGCGGACACCTCTAACAAAATCAGAAATTGCTGGAAAGGTCAGCAGGTCCAGCAGCATCCGTGAGAAAAATCAAAGTTAATGTTTCGGGTCGAGTTCATCGGTAAACCTTTATACCAGAATGTCACTTGTTATGATACAATGTAACTATCCCAAAGGTACTTTGCCTGGAATCTACACAATAATTTAACAATGTCCATGAGATAAAACCTTCCCTCACCAGTGGCTTTCTGATTCCCCATCCATTACTTCCCTGGGGAATGAATTTTTAATTTGGGTTCGTTTCTGATTTTCCCAGTCACTAAGCAGCTGCAAAAGTTACAGTGTGTTATAGTCATGACAGTAGGAATGAGCTGTTAATCAAACTCAACTGCTCCACAAATTGTACCATTAGTATAAATTATCAAATTGGATCACCAACTTAGCCTCTTCTTTCTCTTTGGTACTGCTATCAAGAATAAGAGACTTTCACAAGGACTTTTCACGATGCTCAAATTAATCTGTTTATTATAACAGAAAAATTATTCTTAAAACATATCACAAAACCTATTAATATCTAAATTATGATCCAGAATTAGAACTATATTCCCTTCTGATCACAAACAACCACACTCACACATGCACAGGATATGAATGGTTCTGTAGGGGAGACATTTTACACTCAATGAAAAACACCCTTATTGACCAAGGGTCTGTAAAACAAAGGATAGAGGTTGATGGCTCCTCATAGTCCACTGAGCTTCTCGTTGACAAAATCGAAATGTTGACCTCTCTATACAGATGGAAGACCTTTCAAACAGCGCTCCAGTTTGAAGGGAAATCAAGCTGGTTCCTAGTCTTGGGCAAGTGATCCTCGTTCAGTTTCTCACAGTTTTCTGGGTATTTAAAAGAAAATCTGAATTGTTGACTTTATTAAAGTGGAAAACAGGAGAAGCAGAGGAGAAAGGGAGGAGGGGAGAGAGACAGAGAGAGCAGCTAAGAGAGATTCATACTACTGCTTCTCCTCTGATTCTCTAGGTATTGGAAGTAAAAGTAAAAATCCTAGCCAGGGTTACTAAACAACCACCAACATATGTTGCAGTATGTTGTAGTAATTAACAGCAATCAGTGTTTTTTATTTCAGAAAGTCTCTGAACTGTTCAATAACAAATGAATGACTAACAATCTGTTTGTGACCATCTGTTCCCAGCTCCAGTGACCTTGGACCCTAATACTGCCAATCTTTACCTTCTCCTGTCTGAGGACCTGAGCACCATGAAAAACACTGGGAAATGGGAGCTGCTTCCGAACAATCCGGAGAGATTTGATCGCTGTCCCTGTGTCCTGGGCTTGGAGGGATTCACATCAGGGAGACATTCCTGGGAGGTGGAGATTGGGAACAAGCCTCAGTGGAATGTTGGTGTGGCCAAGGAATCCATCAACAGGAAAGGGCAGATCTACCTCAGTCCAAGTAAAGGATACTGGGCAGTGGTACTAAGAGATGGGAATGAATACTTGGCTTGTGATGAACCATGGAAGCATCTAAAGCTGAGTGTGAATCCGAGGAAGATCCGAGTCTGTCTGGATTATGAGGGAGGGACGGTGTCCTTTTATAACTCAGAGAACAAGACCCATATCTACACTTTCACTGGAACATTCACTGAGAAACTATATCCCTTCTTCAGTCCGGGTTTTAATATAGAGTCTAAAAATCCAGAACCACTCAAAACCTGTCCCCAGTCAGTAATCATCCAGGAGGATGATGGATCAATCCATTTCTCCAACTCAAAATAGCTTCTTTCACTTGGTACAACATTCTCAGAGTCAGCACCAACGGCTTCTCACAGGCACTGGGAGATTCACTGCGACATCAGCTAGCTAATAGTCCCATTTTCTCTCCATATCTTCCCTCCATACTTTGACTTACAGGTAATTCTGGGATTCTGACAATGGTGCAGGAGCCTGGAAAAATCCCACACCCACAACACCAATTACCCCAGATAAGAATGTAGAACATAGAACAGTACGGCACAGTACAGGCCCTTCAGCCCACGATGTTGTACTGACCTATTATCCTACTAAGATCAAACTACCCTGCATACCCTACATTTTACTATCCCCCATGTGCCTATCCAAGAGTTGCTTAAAAGTCTCTAAAGTATCTCTGACCCCACTACCACCGCCGGCAGCGCATTCCATATGCCCACCACTCTCGGTGTGAAGAACCTACCTCTGACATCTCCCCTATACCTTCCTCCAATCACCTTAAAATTATGACCCCTTGTAATAGTCATTTCCGCCCTGGAAAAATGTCTCTGGCTATCCACTCTATCTATGCCTCTCATCATCTTGTACACCTCTATCAAGGCACCTCTCATCCTTCTTTGCTCCAATGAAAAAAGCCCTCGCTCCCTCAACCTTTCCTCATAAGACCTGCCGTTCAGTCCAGGCAACATCCTGGTAAATCTCCTCTGCATCCTCTCGAAAGCTTCCACATCCTTCCTATAATGAGGCGACTAGAATACCCACAGGGTCTGGGACATACATAAGAAATAGGATCAGGAGTGGGCCTTCTGGCCCCCCGGCCCGAGCCTGCTCTGCTATTCAATAAGGCCATGGCTGATCTTTTCGTGGATTCAGCTCCCCTTACCCATCCACACACCATAATCTTTAATTCCTTTATTGTTCAAAAATCTATCCATCTTTTCCTTGATAAACATTAAACGAGGCAGCCTCAACTGCTTCACTGGGCAGGGAATTCCACAGATTCACGACCCTTTGGGTGACAAAGTTCCTCCTCAATTCAGTCTTAAATCTCCTCCCCTTATTTTGAGGGTATGCCCCCAGTTCTAGTTACACCTGCCAGTGGAAACAACCTCCCTGCTTCTATTCTATCCATTCCTTTCATAATTTTATATGTTTCTATTAGATCCCCCCCTCATTCTTCTAAATTCCAATGAGTGTAATCCCAGTCTACTCAGTCTCTCCTCATTAACCAACCCTCTCAATTCCAGAATCAACCTAGTGAACCTCTTCTGCACCCCCTCCAGTGCCAGGCCATCAATCTAGTAATCTAAGTGTCTGACCTTCGATGCCACTATCAGGGATTCAGCGAATATAGTTGGATTTCTGTATTGTAGTTTCTGTTTCTAACAGTAAGTTGTATAAATATCAGTAAGCAATGGCCCGAGCAATAGGGACAGCATGTATGATATTAGAGACTGCTGGGTTGATATTGTCATCAGGACTGTGTAAATATTTCATTTGTTTCAAATCCTGAATGTTTTTGACACATTTTTCTGCTCTCTGTCTCTGGAAGTGTGTGCGAGGAGGTTTCCTTTAGCTTCAGTGACTTGTGTTTCACCATACATACATGGATTGATTGATTAATCTATTGTCATATGTACTCATACATGTATTTGTTACAAATACAGTCAACAATGTTGTATGATGTCGCAACTCTCCAGCATCATCTCAAAACTCAGAAACTAAACCAAGACATAGAATGTAGCAGCGTGCAGCAATAGTTTGTTGAGATACTTGTAACTTGAGCATGTCTCTGTTTACACTGTGTGTGTTTCCTGTGGTGAGCTTGTAATTAAGAGATTGGGATTTATCATAAAGTTCTTCACAATTATTCCCGTCTGACAGCAGTGCTGAGTGACTGCACCAGTTTTATAGGTGACCAGTCCCTGGTTAACATCAATGGGCAAGGTGGCTCAGTGGTTAGCACTGCTGCCTCACAGCATCAGGGACCCAGGTTCAATTCCACCCTCGGGAGGACTGTCTGTGTGGAGTTTGTACATTCTCCCCATGTCTGTGTGGGTTTCCTCCCACAGTCCAAAGATGTGTAGGCTAGGGTGGATTGCTGTGCTAAATTGCCTGTAGTGTTCAGGGAAGTGTAGATTAGGTGGGTTAGACATGGGGAGATTAGGGGAATGGGTCTGGATGGGCTGCTCTTTGGAGGGGCAGTTTGGACTTGGGCCGAATAGCCTGTTTCCACACTGTAGGGATTCTACAAGTTGATGATGTTTGTTCGGCCAATGGTGAAACATGCGGAGATATTTGGATATAGCAGAAAGCCAAAGATATCCCCATGGCATTATTTTGTCCTGTAGCCATAAGACTTCATGGGTCTGGAGTCAGTTTTGAGGAGTCCAAGGGACTTAGCCAGCTGATGATACAGCATTCTCCTACGTCAGTAATTTGTTAATGCTGATCAACTTTCTCTACCCTTTCGTAACATGAACTGTGATATAAGTCGAACTTTGATCTCAAATCAGGAACAGAAACTGCAAGAGTTTCACTTTATACCAGTAAATGTTTTATTTAGAGGAGAGATGATCAATCCTTCAGGATGGAAGATGACCTTTTCTGTCCTGTTTGCTATAATCTGTATAAAGATCCTGTCCTAATCGATGGTGATCACAGCTTCTGCTGATCCTGTATAATGCAGTACTGGGAGAAAGTGGTCACTGTCCCCTGTCCTGTCTGCAGAAAGCAGACTTCCTCCAGGATCCTGAGACCATTCTGTATCCTCGCCGGCATCATGGAGACATTTGTAAAAAGTGAGAAAGGTGGAGCAATTCTGCAAGAATGCAGCCGACACAAGAAATGCTGAAATTATTTTGTCAAACTGACAATCAGCTCAGCTGCGTTGGTTGTCTGATTTCAAAAGATCATCAAAACCACGAACTACTGCCAGCAGAAGAAGCTGCTGCAGGGCTTAAGGTGAGGAGAAACTGGGTAAAATAAAATACAGAAACAGAGAATGGAATCCTGAACACTGGCAACATTCAGAGAGTCGGGTTTGAGTGTTTCCCAATATTTAAGTCATGTTTAATAACTTGTTTATATTTAAAACTCAGTTGTTGAATGACCTGCCTTGTGTATCACTGCTTCAGGAACCAGGGATGAAAAGGAAGAGATTAAAAACAAAACAGAAAATGCTGTAAATATCCAGCAGGTCTGGCATTATCTGCAGAAAGAGAAACAGAGTGGAATGGCCCACATCAGATCAATGACCAGGGGACATAGATTTAAGGTAAGGGAGAGGAGATTGAGAGTAGATGTGAGGAAAACGTTTTTCACCCAGATGGTGGTGGGAATCTGGAACTCCCTATCTATAAAGGTAGCAGAGGCAGAAACTCACATTTCATTGAAAAAAAATTAAATGTAAAGTTTGGATATAAAGGTATTCATTATCAAGTGCTGGAAAATAGCATTAGAATATTTAGTACCAACTGAGAAAGGGTCACCAAACCCAAAACGTTAACTCTGACTTCTCTTCACAGATGCTGCCAGATCTGCTGAACGTTTCCAGCAACTTCTATTTTTGTTTTTGATTTACAGCATCCGCAGTTACTTCAGTTTTTATTTAGAATAGTTAGTGTTTTTCATACCTGCGGACTTGATGGGCTGAAGGGCCTTTTCCTGTGTAGACCTTTATGATTCTATGACTCAATGACTGATCTGTGGTGCAAAGTCTCAGCGACTAGGTAAAATAACAGGTACAAGGAAACAGGAGCAAATTAATTCCTCTGGGTATTTCCTGAAGGAACAGATGTGTATTTACCAGGAATTTATTGGTAAGGGGGAGGGGGAATTACAGAGGAAGGGAAACCCGCTGTGAATCAGAGAATACTCACAGGAAAGGACACCCAGAGAAGGAAATTTAAGAGAAGCAAAAAGTGATCTTTTTTTTCAAAGAGGAATTTGCAGACAGAAAATAAACTAAAAGGGAATGTTTGGCCTTAAACTTTAACCAAAAGGGATAGTAGAAATAGAATTTAAAAATAACCATTAAGAATATTGAGTTGGAGCCCGTGCAGAATGTTCTTTGTTTTATTTCTTTATTTTTGTTATTTTTGGTTTGAAGCTATGGACTGTAAGCTGAAGATGACCTTCAGATTGTGGGCAGCAGCGTGTGTGAAACACAAAGGAACAAAGGAAAAACAAAGGTTTCTGAAGAATGGTCCCGACCCGAAGTGTCAACTTTCTTGCTCCTCTGATGCTGCCTGGCCTGCTGTGTTCCTCCAGCTCCACACTGTGTTATAAAAGGACAAACATGTCTGTTTGTGAGTCTAGGCCTAAAAATTAATAGGACGATGATTCTTATTAAGAAGAGTTTCAACTCCAGGGTGGCAGGTATTCTTAACCAAAATGCTTGGCCATTAGCGAGGTCAGTACCTGGGGATAGGTTCCAGCAAGTCTTATGAGAGAACTTATGCTCAAGCAGATGGTAGATATTGGATGGTAACTGGGACCTCGTGGGGAGACAGTCAGTCTGACAAGGATAGACCAGAGTTTGAGCTGGTTTTTGAACTGTGTTTGCATCAGGAGGAGTTTAGCTGTTAATGCTACAGCATGAAGATTTGAAAGCTTTCTGCTTAACCTATCATTATCAGTTATTGGGAGTTCAGAGAATAGAATCACAGCTATAAATATTACCGAATCTTCATCCAAGTGAACAGGAAAAGATAGCAATGATCGACATCTTCAAAAAATCAAGAACAAAACGATCATTTATGCCTGTGGAACAATGCATTGTTAAGTAATCTGGCCAGATATGTTTTTTTTTATTCATTCATCCCTTCAATATGTTTATTTGTCTGCCTGTCTTTTGTGTGAATAGAGCTGAAAACAAAACTTACGAGGTTTAAATTATAGATATCAATTAGATTACTTTGTTGTTTAATTTTGCTCAGCTACAGTTGCTGTATTGTTAATAAATTGTTAAATATTTTGTTTAAGCTTCCAACCCAGTGTCTGGTATCAATTATTCCCAAAGGCTGGATTTGGTCATTCCACAGAGTCTTGTTTGGAACCATTGGGGTCAAGTTTGAAGGTCTTTGAAGTTTTTATTTTTACTGAGTTGCGAATAGAGAGGGAGGAGGGCTGGTTTGATGCGGCTGCCTGTCTCAGTGTTGGAACAACTGGGTCAAATTTTCTGTTGCCTCCAGTGGGGCAGGCAATAGCAAGAAAGTTGGAATGGCAGAGTGACAGTGGAAAAATCAGATTCTTGACATCAAGAAAACAAATTTCTGATTTTCCGGTTAGGATTTAAACTTTGACTTACAAATCTTACTAATGAGTCGCAACAACCTTATTTTAGGATCAGCAGGTGGTGAAGAATACAAATGGGATGTTGGCTTTCATAGTGAGAGGATTTGAGTACAGGAACAAGGATGCCTTGCTGCAATTGTACAGGGGCCTTGGTGAGACTACACTGGAGTATTGTGTGCAGTTTTGGTCTCCTAGTCTGAGGAATGATGTTCTGGCTATAGAGGGAGTGCAGCAAAAGTTTACAGGCTGATTCCTGGGCTTGGCAAGACTGGCATATGGGGAGAGATTGGCTCAGTTAGGACTGTATTCACTGGGGTTTCGAAGAATGAAGGGGAATCCCGGAGAAACCTGTAAAATTCTAACAGGACTAGACAGGGCAAAAGGGATGATTTTGGTGATCAGTGAATCCAGTCAATCAGTCTCAGGATATTGGGTTGGACTGAGATGAGGAGAAGCTTCTTCACCCAGAGAGTGGGGAGCCTGCGGAATTCTCTGCCATAGAAATCAGTTGAGTCTATTTTCAGGAATGAGATGGATATATTTCTTGGGGTAAAAGGGATCAAGAGTGTGGGGAGTAAGAGATAGGCGTTCACCCATGATCATATTGAACGAGGGGCAGGCTCGAAGGACTGAATGGCCTGTCCCCGCTCCCAATTTCTATGTTTTCATGCGTTTGCCTGTCACTATTAGCTAGCTTGCCTCATTTCAATGCAGCTTGTCATTCTCCTCTCTCTCCGAGACTGCAGCAATTCCTGACATGAAAATCAACACAGTTACTTGTTGGCAACAGCTCACTTCCTAGGGTCTTCGGACATCGCTGACATTTCCCAGCATGCTTCATTGACACTGTACTCTTTCACCATCTGTCCTTATCCGTGAGCATCGCTAAGCCACCAGCCTCAGATAACCATGGCTGCTTTTGGAACATAGAACATAGAACAAAGAACTGTACAGCACAGTACAGATGTTTGGCCCACGATATTGTGCCGGACTTTTACCCTAATCCTAAGGTCTTTCTAACCTCCACCCCTACCTTATACTATCATCTATATGCCTATCCAATAGCCGCTTAAATGCCCCCAATGAGGCCGACTCCACTACCCTCTCCGGCAATGCATTCCACGCGCTGACCACTCTCAGAGTAAAGAACCTACCTCTGACGTCTCCCCTATATCTACCTCCACCCACTTTAAAACTATGCCCCCTCGTAATAGCTACATCCACCCTAGGAAAAAGTCTCTGGCTGTCTACTCTATCCATACCTCTGATCATTTTGTACACCTCTATCAAGTCACCTCTCATCCTTCGTCATTCTAAAGGGAAAAGCCCTAGCTCTCTCAACCTTTCCTCGTAAGACCTTCCATCCATTCCAGGCAACAACCTGGTAAATCTCCTCTGCACCTTTTCCAACACTTCCACATCTTTCCTGTAACAAGGCAACCAGAACTGGACACAATACTCCAGATGTGGCCGAGCCAGGCTTTTGTATAGCTGGAGCATAACTTCACGGCTCTTGAACTCAATCTCTCTTTTAATGAAAGCTAACAACTTTATCCACCTGGGTGGCAGCTTTCAGGGAACTGTGGACATGAACCCCAAGATCCCTCTGCTCCTCCACACTGCCAAGAATCTTTCCGTTAACCCTGTATTCTGTTTTCAAGTTTGTCCTTCCAAAATGAATCACCTCACACTTTTCAGGGTTAAACTCCATCTGCCACTTCTCAGCCC